CTTTGATTAACGGAAATGCAGAGTTCTCAATGTCCTAACCTTTTTAAGCCGTTAAGAGCGACGCAATTTTCTTCATTTTTCGACGACATATCTCTTTTTAAATCTTCTAATTGAAGACGAAGAGAAGCTGACTTCATCATCTCTTTTTCCAAATGTTGTTGTAATGATCTACAGGAAAGATGATCGAAGGAAAAATCAGGGCAAAATAGTGTATATTCGAATGGAATGTTAATATTAAACGAAGGACGATAATACAACCTGTTACGTTCTTCAACTTCATCTTTTCTTAACATCATCGATACAATCGCCTGTTTTAATTCCTCTTCAACAATAAAAAACCACGTATTTATTGATATTCATGAAATTATAATTATTCACACATACAAATATTCAGTTCACATGATGAAATTTGACGGATGTCTCAAACAAGCAAAGCAACTACGATACAAATAGTAAAATCCAATTGCACTAAATATTTCTATATTTAAAACTAACTCTACCTGCTAATAGCCCATTTATAGTTTGAGAACCTGAGGCAAAAGTGCCTCTCCCGTTCCCAAAACATTTTTCAAAAGATATAAGAAATAAAACCATTTAAATACATGAATAGAAAAACACACAAACCTGAAGTCATTTCTTTGCCTGATGGATATTCCTCTGATGGCTAAAGAACGAAAACATACCAAATATAACGAACTAAATATAACAAAGATATTTACACATGGCTTTCTACCCTCCCCTTAAAAAGATAAAAGCATTTCATAATTAACTAACATTCATACAACCATCACCCATGGTTCTGACCAATGACGATCCTGAGTAATCATTAATTTCTATGCTACCATCACGTGTGGCACATATCGCTGCAACAGTTGCTCCAATTGCTAAACTTGCATCATTCTCGACGTCTTCATCAGTGTAAATACTGAAAACAACATAAATTACCACCTCAGTTAAAATGGTGAACTCGTTAGACATTCTTGTCGATAAAATAATGAAGTATCTTCTAACCTTGAAACGGGGGAATCATTTATTGAATGAACTAAATGTCGCGACGTCTCAGGTGCAACAGTAAATCGCTCATTTTCATCTGACATAGCTAGACCCCTAACTCCTTTATCGTCATCGGGGCAAACTACGGGAATTAGAGATACACCGCTGTTCATATCAACAAGAGGCTCACACACTTCTTCCTCCGACAAGAGCGATGAGTCAGTGTAATGCCCTGATTGCAAAGATGTTGTCAAAGAATGATTTTTTTTCATATCATTCGCAGTTTTAAACTCGTCTTTAAGATGCAGAACTTCCTGGCTTTTCTTTGTTAATCGAGCCACTTGTTCATCTGTTTCATTCTCGTTGTTGTCAACGTTGGTTTTCGCCATTGTGGAAGAAAGACTTGAATTCTCAGAAGTCGAACAATAAGCCAACTGAGAGTTCTTTGGCATTTCAAGAAAATCGTCAGGCCTTTTAGTGAAAGCATGGTTACCACGAGCATGTACCTGAGAATCAGTATTACGTTGTAATATGTCGTATGCCGCTCGGGTAAAACTCGTGGCACTATCGTGAGCAGTCGTTGTCGTGGAAGAACTACCATGAGAACTGACAGTAGAAGTTCCTTCTTCCGTCTCTTTGAATTCAACATTTTCAATTTGCGCAATGTTTGCTTTCTTTTTTTTACGTTTTTTCTTTTCTTTTCCTGAAACACAAAAGAAAGATAAAAGTTACAAATTAATAAAGACGCGTGGGATAAATGACTACGCATTGTTCAAGTATGATAAAGAATAAATGAGGACGCGCGGTTAAGGGATGATAAGGGATGAATAAACAACAGGTATAGTTAAGGGATAAATGAAGACATGTAATAATGGGATAATAAAGGTTAAGGAGAACGCATGGTTGGGGGATTACAAGGAATAAATGACATGTGTGGTTAAGGAATGATAAGATTAGCGATATATGAGATGAATGGTAGGGATAATTAGGGATAAAAGGGATATTTTTGATCAGGAGAGAAAAATGAAATTCTGATCAAATCTTTATTTTCTTAAAATGTTGTATTTAACAAACTTCACCAGGAGCTCCTGACGTCGCATACATTGGTGATGGTACAGCCCATATTGATGTTGGACGAGAAACTGCTTGGCTGATATTGCCTGGAATCTAAAAATTAAATTAAATTCAAGTAGTTAAAGAAAAGTACATTCATAGCTTCCACTTTTTTACTATCCATTTCTATTTGCAAAGATTCGATTTTAAACAATATCAATAGCATTCCAGCATACCTGTACAGTAAGAGCGTTAAACTCTGCTTTGTCAATGTCAATTGCAAAAAGAATTGAACTTAAGCCTTAAAGAAGAAACAAGGAATGATAAAAAATCCATTATAGAAATATAAACAAGTTTATTCTTACCAGCAGCCATCATTGGTAACATACTAGATCGTTCATCATCCAATAATAATGCATCTTGCTCATAATACTGACTGAAATTAAAACAATTACACATCGTATAATTATTCTGACATCAACAGCTTACTGTTAAAAGAAAACTCCATTACTATATCGCATTATACATTGGTTATGATAATCATATAGCTTATCAAGCCAAGATTGATCTTTCTTCCTTAAATGTTAGCGATCAAACTTACAAAAGCAATTGTTTATGCCCAATGAAGCTATGAAGATATTTCTCCAGTGATTGCTCGTTTAAACTAGACCTAAGCCATGCTTGAGCTGTCAAAAAAATATCAAAAATAGAAAGAAAAATGTCAGAACAAATTCATGGCATACAAAAAGGTTTTACCCACAAACATTCCTGGAATCATTTACAAGCCAACAACTTGACCAACCTCTACCAACGTCTGTCATTACATTATGTAAAGAATTATATGTCTTTATTTCACTAGAGCTAAGATGTTCCTTGATAGCCAGAACACAGATTGACCTTCAGATCTCATTAACACCTGCCTTTAATGAACATAGTAATGATGAAAACAAATTATTTAAGAATGGCTTTTAAATTGACTGAAAAGAGAGAGGAATGGTGAAGATACCTTAAAGAATTTATCTTTCTTGTGGATTTAATGCCAAATTGAAGAACATTTGAACGCCACTTTTGACTAAACTCTGTGTGTCTAACAAAATGCTGATAGTTGTATACAACAAACCATTTCTTTCAGAAATAAGAAAATTTACAAAACAAGCAAAAGTTAAACACAGTAAGAATGTATTTATACATAGAGGAAGAACGCGACCGAATCTAGTTTTTGTGAATTGTTGATTCATGCAACACAGAGCTTTCAAAACTATACTTATGATCATATTTTAGTTTAACAGTGTTAAAGTTTACTTTCATTGCATCCTTTACTGTTATATGTATAGTGTTTTTTTATTGATCATAAGTATTTACAATTGCGTGCAGTTGATAATTATAATGTATTGATAATTTACAATGTGTTATTCAATAACAAAGGTCTTTGTATAATATAAACTGACTTTTGCAATAATATACACGTATGGAATTTTTGATTAGTGAAGTAAAAAAATCGATTTTAAATTTCAAAAATTGTGTCTTAATCATTCACATTCAAATCCTATTGTAGAAAGATGATCCCTTTATTCCTGAGTTAAAACTTGTTAAACTTTATATTATTTAGCAGTAGTCCTTTGGAATTTGAATCATTTCAATGTTATTATGTACTCTGCATAAGGCTCTTACTTATGTATTTTTATTTCAATAACAATTATTTTTAGTCAGTGATGTACACCTAGCTACAGAACTTGAATGTTCTACAGAGATGTCATTAATGTTTTATAGTATTGTGGTCGCGTTGTTTATATTAAATCTCATCCGTTTGTTGAGTATGTGAAAGGTAAAGAACTAAAGCAAGCATAATTTTGTTCACACGGTCGTCTTACTTCTAAAACGAAAGTAATTTTAGAAAAATTAAGCGATATTTTGAACTACACTAAGCACATAACAAATTAGCTAAAGCAGCATCTAGATAAAGTATGACTAAACATGCATGAGAAATCATATCTAAATTGATATACCAATTTTCTAACTATTGACAATAAGCTGCATGGTAAAGGACAGTAAAACCTGTTCAAAAGTATGGGGGAGGCAGAATAATATGAGAACATTTCCTACATGTAGGACGCTGAATTTTTCTTTATAAACTATACTTGTCTAAGGAAAAAAGGGGGATCTGTAAAAATTTATGTAAAGTGGGGAGCACATGTCCAATCATGCATCACCTCCCTTCTTTGCTGACGCCACTTTTGACTAATGTCTGTGTGTCTAGCAAAATGTTCATAGTTGTATACAACAAACCATTTCTTTTATAAGTAAGAAAACTTGAAAAATAAGCAAAAGTTAAACACAGGAAGAATGTGTTTACACAGAGAAAGAACGCAACCGAATCTATTTTTGGGAAATGTTCATTCATGCAACAAAGTGAGCTTTTAGAATTATAGTTTAGATCATGTTTAACTGTTTTAAGGTTTACTTTCATTGCAACCTTTACTGTTGTATCCACAGTGTCTTTATTGATCATAAGTAATTATAATTGCGTGCAGTTGATGTTTACCACACATTCATAATTTACAATGGTTTATTAAATAACAAAGGATTTTTATAATAAGAACTGACTTTAGCAAGAATATACATGTATGAAATTTTTCATTAATGATGGAAAAAACTCCATTCACAGTTTCGAAAATCGTGTCTTAATCATTGGCATTCAAATCTTGTCTTAGATAGATGATTCTCTATTCCTTAGTTAAAACTTGTGAAACTTTATAAGATTTAGCAGTACTCCATTGGAATTTGACTAATCTCAATGTTATTATGTACTCTGCATGAGGTTTTTACTTATGTATTTTTATTTCTATAAAAATTGTTTTTAGTCAGTGATGTATACTTAGTTATATAACTAGAATGTTCTACATAGGCGTCATTGTTTTATAATACTGTTTGATGAAAGAGATCCTGACTCACTCTTCATCTTCGTTCGCTATTTAAATGTGTTTATGTAACAAAACTTACATGGATAAAAGATTGATGTAACAATAAGGTATGAATTATTATCACCATTTATAAACTGATATGTATGTGGTCGCGTTCTTTATATTAAATCTCTTATCTTTGTAAAGTATGTGACATTTAAAGAACTAAAAGCAAACACAATTTTGTCTACACGGTCGTCAAGTATGAAGTCTTATTCCTAAAACGTAGGTGCCTTTTCGAAAGTAAAGCGAGATTCTGAAACTATATTACTAACTTTACATAACAACTTTGCTATTGAAGCATCTCGATAATGTATGACTAAACATTCAAGAGAAATCATATTTAAGTTGATACATCAACTTTCTAACTATTGACAATAAGCTGCATGGTAAAGGGCAGTAAAACCTGTTCAAAAGTATGGGGGAGGCAGAATAACATGAGAACATTTCCTACATGTATAACGCTGAATTTTTCTATATAAACTATACTTGTCTATGGAAAAAAGGGGAATTTTTGTAAAAATATATGTACGGGGTGGGGCATATAACCAACTACGCATCACCTCCCTTCTTCAATGACGGCACTTTTGACTAATCTCTGTGTGTCTAGCAAAATGTTCATAGTTGTATACAACAAACCATTTCTTTTATAAGTAAGGAAATTTGAAAAATAAGCAAAAGTTAAACACAGGAAGAATGTATTTACACACAGAGAAAGAACGCGACCGAATCTATTTTTTGTGAAATGTTGATTCATGCAACACAGAGCTTTCAAAACTATACTTTTGATCATATGTTAGTTTAACAGTGTTAAAGTTTACTTTTATTGCATCCTTTACTGTTATATGTATAGTGTTTTTTTATTGATCATAAGTATTTACAATTGTGTGCAGTTGATAATTAAAATGTATTGATAATTTACAATGGATTATTCAATAACAAAGGTCTTTTTATAATATGAACTGACTTTTGCAATAATATACATGTATGGAATTTTTGATTAGTGAAGTGAAAAAATCGATTTAAAGTTTCAAAAATTGTGTCTTAATCATTCACATTGAAATCCTATTTTAGAAAGGTCATCCTTTATTCCTGAGTTTAAACTTGTTAAACTTAATATTATTTAACAGTAGTCCTTTGGAATTTGACTCATTTCAATGTTATTACGTACTCTGCATGAGGCTCTTATTTATGTATTTTTATTTCAATAATCATTGTTTTTAGTCAGTGATGTATACTTAGTTATATAACTAAATGTTCTACAGAGATTTTATTGTTTTATAATATTGAAGAAGATCCTGACTCACTCTTCATCTTCGTTCCTTATTTAAATGTGTTTATGTAACAAAACTCACATGGATAAAAATTGATGTTACCATAAGGAATGAAATATGATCACCATTTTTAACTGATATGTATGTGGCCGCGTTGTTTATATTAAATCTCTCATCCGTTTGTTGAGTATGTGACATGTAAAGAACTAAAGCAAGCATAATTTTGTTCACACGGTCGTCTTACTTTTAAAAGAAAGTAATTTTAGAAAAATTAAGCCATATTTTAGAACTACACTAAGCACATAACAAATTAGCTAAAGCAGCATATCGTTTAAGTAAGACTAAACATGCATGAGAAATCATGTCTAAATTGATATACCAACTTTCTAACTATTGACAATAAGCTGCATGGTAAAGGAAAGCAAAACCTGTTCAAAGGTATGGGAGAGGTGAAATAGCATACTTGTCTATGGAAAAAGTGGGAATCTGTGAAAATTTATGTAGGGGGGATAGCATGTCCAATCATGCATCACCTCCTTTCTTTGCTGACGCCACTTTTGACTAAACTCTGTGTGTCTAACAAAATGCTGATAGTTGTATACAACAAACCATTTCTTTCATAAGTAAGGAAATTTGAAAAATAAGCAAATTTTGAACACAGGAAGAATGTGTTTACACAGAGAAAGACGCAACCGAATCTATTTTTGTGAAATGTTCATTCATGCAACACAGTGAGCTTTTAGAATTATAGTTTAGATCATGTTTAACAGTTTTAAGGTTTACTTTCATTGCAACCTTTACTGTTGTATCCACAGTTTCTTTATTGATCATAAGTAATTATAATTGCGTGCAATTGATGTTTGCCATGTATTTGTAATTTTACAATGGGTTATTTAATAACAAAGGTTTTTTATAATAAGAACTGACTTTTGCAATAATATACATGTATGGAATTTTTCATTAATGAAGGAAAAATATCCATTCACAGTTTCGAAAATCGTGCCTTAATCATTGGCATCCTGTTTTAGATAGACGATTCTCTATTCCTTAGTTAAAACTTGTGAAACTTTATAAGATTTAGCAGTAGTCATTTGGAATTTGAGTAATCTCAATGTCATTATGTACTCTGCATGAGGTTCTTATTTATGTATTTTTACTTCTATAACAATTGTTTTTAGTCAGTGATGTATACTTAGTTATATAACTAGAATGTTCTACATAGGCGTCATTAATGTTTTATTATACTGTTTGTTGAAGGAGATCCTGACTCACTCTTCATCTTCGTTCGCTATTTAAAAGTGTTTATGTAACAAAAGTCACAAAGATAAAAGATTGATGTAACAATAAGGTATGAATTATGATCACCATTTTTAAACTGATATGTATGTGGTCGCGTTCTTTTTAATAAATCTCTCATCTTTTGTTAGGTATGTGACATGTAAAGAACTGAAGCAAGCTTAATTTGGACGACGAGGTCATCAGATATGAAGTCTTACTTCTACAACAAAGGTAATTTTACAAAAGTAAAGCGAGATTTATATCCACATTACGGACCTAATAAATTAGCTAAGGAAACATCTAGATGAAGTATGGATAAACATGCATGAGAAATCATATATAAATTGATATACCAACTTTTTAACTATTGACCATAAGCTGCATGGTAAGAAAAACAGTAACACCTGTTCAAAAGTATTGGGAGGAAGAATAGCATGATAGCCTTCCTGTGGCAATCTTTAATAATTAATTCGGTTAAGTGATGATCCTTAAGCAATAAAATTAATTTTTCTAGCTTCTAGCTCTAAATCTGACACTTCCAATGTTTTAGTCCTCTTTGTCCCGAGTTTAACTCTTGCCTTCAAATTGTCTACAAATCGCCCAATGATAGCTATGACACTTATTAGTCTCTTTATATCTCAATTTGCTATCACACAATCTTTATCTACTACCTGTGTGTTAGCCAATACTGTCTTCTCGACTTCCACAAGACTTTCCTCTGTAGTTTTAACCTCTTTTGGCAATGGCTAATAACAATGGGGACCTGACAACCACTTCAGTCTCTTCCACCAAAGTTCACTTTCCTTTAATTGTGATGTCGTAACTCCACTTGAACCTAATCCACTGGGTTTTCTACACCCGGACAATGTTTCCAGTCATCCTTCCTGCTCAATCTTAAAATCTCGTTAACTCTATGGCGCACAAACTGTTTCCATTCTCCCCTATTACCGATCCAGCACAATGCAGTCATACTGTCCAAACAATAGTATGTACCATTGAATTGAACGTAACAAATTTTATTGGCGCTATCCTTGTTTTCAAAGTATGCAACTCTACGTGGTAGGCACCGTTTAGCTCTGTCACAAAATATACGAGCGCACAGTATGCCTTTTGGCTGGCATCTGCTTACCCATGCAAGTAACACTTTACTTACCAAGTAAATTACCATACACACATCTCGCCACAACTAAATCCCTGACTCTCTCTAAATCTTCTATCCATCTCTGCCAACGTTTTTTCTTGTTACCTTCCAGATCATTATCCCATTCAGCTTTCTCAATACACAGCTCCTGAAACAATAACTTAGCACAAACTATAACTGGACTTATAATAACTAAGGGATCGAATAATCCTGCAAGTATACCTAGTATATTTCGTTTACTTGAGATGAATGCCTTTGTTCTTTCAGCCAATTTCCAGAGGCTAAATACAAAGCGATCCGACTTACACTCCCATCCCAATCCTAGTACTTTCTCAAAACTTCCACTGATACTATTTTCTCCAACTGATGCTTTGGCGTAAATTTGCTCATCAACCACTTTCGAATTACTAAATTCTGCCCTTCTTTCCTCTAAGATTCTTCTTTCTCTCTTTTCTATTTCTTTCAAAACATTCCCATCGTTACTTAGCCACTTCCTAAGCCTAAATTCTCCTGCAGCCAATCGCTCACTTGCTAACTCATACAACCTCATTACTTTCTTCTTGGATTGTTCAGCGGACACTAGATCATCGACATAAAAGCTATCTCTGAGTTTTTTTAACAAATTCCCTGTCTATCTCTATGAATGAGTTATTGGCATTTTTGCTTTTCGACCATTTTACTGCGTTTCCTGCTAATTTCATGGCTAATACTTACAAAATCAGCATAGAAACAGGACATTGTTTAGTTTGAATCTAAAAAAGAATTTTATTGATTTAATTGCTTTGCTCAGCTAAATGATATCGTCAAGGCAACAAGGGCATCAAGTACAGCAAACAAATACAGCATCGGCAAGGCATGACACAAGACGCTTTGAGACAATGTTTAACATTTACATTGCTATATAACTGGCAACAACTAGTGGGGGAACTCGTTCAAGTGAAAAAAGCTCGTCAGAACAACACCAAAGCTTCTTCGCTTAAGCTGACTGCCAGTTTTTTTTTGGCTAGACTGCAGTTTAGCGGACACGCGAAGCGCTTGTATGGGAGGGCGGGCTCGTTTTGGCATAGGATTATATGGTAGGGTTTGGGTCAGTGTCCAAGGTGTCCGCTAAGTTGCAATAGTCCGGGCTGAAACACACTAGGCAGTCACAACACCTGCAAAACGGTGTAAATTAATAACAATTACACTTCTCACTTCTATAGTAGTTGATCTATCTGCACATGCTTCAGTAGTTTTTCTATCTACACATGCTTCAGTAGTTTTTCTATCTACACATGCTTCAGTAGTTTTTCTATCTACACATGCTTCAGTAGTTTTCTATCTACACATGCTTCAGTAGTTTTTCTATCTACACATGCTTCAGTAGTTGATCTATCTACACATGCTTCAGCAGTTTTTCTATCTACACATGCTTGGTAGTTTTTCTATCTACACATGCTTCAGTAGTTGATCTATCTACACATGCTTCAGTAGTTGATCTATCTACACATGCTTCAGTAGTTTTCTATCTACACATGCTTCAGTAGTTTTTCTATCTACACATGCTTCAGTAGTTGATCTATCTACACATGCTTCAGTAGTTTTCTATCTACACATGCTTCAGTAGTTTTTCTATCTACACATGCTTCAGTAGTTGATCTATCTACACATGCTTCAGTAGTTGATCTATCTACACATGCTTCAGTAGTTTTTCTATCTACACATGCTTCAGTAGTTTTCTATCTACACATGCTTCAGTAGTTGATCTATCTACACATGCTTCAGTAGTTGATCTATCTACACATGCTTCAGTAGTTTTCTATCTACACATGCTTCAGTAGTTTTCTATCTACACATGCTTCAGTAGTTGATCTATCTACACATGCTTCAGTAGTTTTTCTATCTACACATGCTTCAGTAGTTTTCTATCTACACATGCTTCAGTAGTTGATCTATCTACACATGCTTCAGTAGTTGATCTATCTACACATGCTTCAGTAGTTGATCTATCTACACATGCTTCAGTAGTTGATCTATCTACACATGCTTCAGTAGTTTTCTATCTACACATGCTTCAGTAGTTGATCTATCTACACATGCTTCAGTAGTTGATCTATCTACATGCTTCAGTAGTTGATCTATCTACACATGCTTCAGTAGTTGATCTATCTACACATGCTTCAGTAGTTTTTCTATCTACACATGCTTCAGTAGTTGATCTATCTACACATGCTTCAGTAGTTGATCTATCTACACATGCTTCAGTAGTTTTTCTATCTACACATGCTTCAGTAGTTTTTCTATCTACACATGCTTCAGTAGTTTTCTATCTACACATGCTTCAGTAGTTGATCTATCTACACATGCTTCAGTAGTTGATCTATCTACACATGCTTCAGTAGTTTTCTATCTACACATGCTTCAGTAGTTGATCTATCTACACATGCTTCAGTAGTTGATCTATCTACACATGCTTCAGTAGTTGATCTATCTACACATGCTTCAGTAGTTTTTCTATCTACACATGCTTCAGTAGTTTTCTATCTACACATGCTTCAGTAGTTGATCTATCTACACATGCTTCAGTAGTTTTTCTATCTACACATGCTTCAGTAGTTTTTCTATCTACACATGCTTCAGTAGTTGATCTATCTACACATGCTTCAGTAGTTTTTCTATCTACACATGCTTCAGTAGTTGATCTATCTACACATGCTTCAGTAGTTGATCTATCTACACATGCTTCAGTAGTTTTTCTATCTACACATGCTTCAGTAGTTTTTCTATCTACACATGCTTCAGTAGTTGATCTATCTACACATGCTTCAGTAGTTTTCTATCTACACATGCTTCAGTAGTTTTCTATCTACACATGCTTCAGTAGTTGATCTATCTACACATGCTTCAGTAGTTTTCTATCTACACAGCTTCAGTAGTTGATCTATCTACACATGCTTCAGTAGTTGATCTATCTACACATGCTTCAGTAGTTGATCTATCTACACATGCTTCAGTAGTTGATCTATCTACATGCTTCAGTAGTTGATCTATCTACATGCTTCAGTAGTTTTCTATCTACACATGCTTCAGTAGTTGATCTATCTACACATGCTTCAGTAGTTTTTTTATCTACACATGCTTCAATAGTTGATCTATCTATACATGCTTCAGTACATCATCCTTTACGGGACCTAATGACGTTGAAATCTTTTGAATTTTTTTACAAAATCATTTTAATAACTTTACATTTTTCATGGCACAAACATAATTCGTAAAGCGGTAGAGACAATAGAGAAATGTAAAGTAAATTGCACGCAATGAACGAGTAAATCGAAATAGCGCTCAAACATTTTCGCGTATTCGGGTGAGCATATCATTGGGGTGACTCACAAACATTCTTCTCTCTCTATATATAGCATTTTGAAAACAGAAAGGCTTTTCTAAAAGCTCAGAAACGATATATGACGTAGCTCTTTGACATGCAGGTGCGACTTTTGATTATTTTTATGTTAAAAATTACAATTGTAAATGCAATAAAATTGTGATTAAAATGCTAAAGTTTTTAAGAGTGTTTAAAATACTCCTCTTAAAAAGTTTAGCATAACCGAAAAGTAATATTCAACAACTGATTTTACGTAAATGATTCCCAAAAAATACTATTTTATCATGATAAATTAAAAACTTCCGTTTTAAGTAAAATTTATCAAAGATAGCTAAGATTATTAATTTAGTAGTTTATGGTTTTCTAAAAATTGATGAAAAGTTTCTACGATTATCATTCAATCCTCGTAGCCAAAGAGAAAAACGATAATGTGTTACAGCATGTTGCAAAACAAATACATTTACTAAGTTATGTTTAAATAAACGACTTATAGACTAGGATTGGCATTACCATAAGCGTTACAAAATATATTCAAGAAAAGGCTACCAGCTAGAACATTATACCATATTCTTAGAAACAATCTAAAAGATATAAGACGTCAAAAAATGACGATCTAAGATTATAGAAATCTAAATTCCTATGTCTGTCTTTTGGAAAGTCACGTAAACTGTCCAGTAAAGTACTTGATTTCAATATTGTTGATACATCAATTTTTTGCAGATAGAATCAAGAGAAAAAAGAAACCTATTTTACATTAGGCAAATAATTAATGTTTTTCAAGAGGAACTTGCTTCGTTTTTCATCAAACAATGGAACTTTCATTACAAATCATCTCATGGAGAATGGGATTATACACCAAAATGTGGCAACAAATTTTACACTTTTGAATCAGGAAGAATATTAGACCAAAAAACTCGACAAAAATATCAAGATGGAGATACCAGTAAGTGGGACTGTACGATATTATTTGATGCAATAATCTTTTCAAATTCAATTGGAAAGCACCTTGACAAAAAAACAAAGGATGCTGTTCATGCACTTCGTTGTGAAAGAAACAAGTACGCACATTGGTATGAAGGGGAATGCTCTGATGATGATTTTGATGATATAGTCAATATCATTGAAAAATCATTTCAAGATTTGAAATTTTCGCTCGATGAAATCAATAAAATAAAATATCATCGAAACTGTTTTAATTCGTTCCAAGTTCTTCCTTCAAAACCTAATCATTTTTTTGTTGAACGCATTGAATTACGAGATAAAACTACAAAAGATCTTGAAAAATTAAGGAATGATAACAATGATCAACTGACATACTTCTACATCACTGGTAATCCTGGCAGTGGTAAATCACAACTTGCAAGACAGGTTTGTGAAAAAATATCGTGTGATTGGAAAAATAGAACTTCGTTTGTAATGACTCTCGATGGAAAAAATGAGGAATCTCTTTTAAAAACTTACTGTGAACTTGGATACCGTTTAAACTGTGACAAGTATATGATTAAAAAATTTGAAGATGAAAATTGTTCCATCGCAGACAAAGTGAAGAATTTGCGATCGTTAGTATCCACACGATTAAAATTCTGGCAAAATTGGTTGATCATTGTAGACAACGTGGCACAGCTCAGCAAAATTTCTTCATTACTCCCCCAAGTTGGTGATCCCATGTGGATAAATGGACAAATCATAGTAACTATCCAGAACACAGATGCCGTACCTCAAGACGATGAGTTTAACAAACATATTTCTATCAGAAGTGGAATGAATGATAAAGAATGTTGTCAACTGTTGAATATTACACTAAAGATGATAATACTGATGATCAAATGTTGAATGAAGTATCGCACGCATTAGATCGTCAACCGCTGGCTTTGGCTGCCGCTGGTTGTTATGTCAGTCGTGTAAACAAAGCAAACTGTTCATTTACTTGGAAAGAATATTTAAAGAAAATATTTTCAGAAGAACAAGAAAACATGGACGCCACTTTTGTTAAATTTAACTCGGTATATCCTAGAAGTATGTTACAAGCTTCACTCTTAGCTGTCAGACAAAATGCTGAAGAATCCTCAATATTGGCAAATGTTATTAACTTTTTTTCCGTGATATCGTTTGATCCTATACCACGAGACATTATTGTTTTTTATGTTCAAGAAATAGATCCCAAACACTCAAAGGAAGATATATGTCTTTGTTTAAAGGACTGCTCATTGTTCTTGCATTCAGAAAATAATGACATTAGTCTACATCGCATTGTTCACAAAGCAATTATTGTTTATCAATCTGAACATTCAAATGAAGAACATGAAATGGAAACTAACGTTGATCAAATATCTAAAGCACTTTACATGTTTAAAGAGAGAGACGACGAAATCAAATTAATGCCACATCTTGAAAAAATTGTTCAATTATTAAAGACCAACAAGACAAAAATCAACATGAACACTTTACAAGTTTTCCAATATTTTGTTGACAGATTAGAGCATTTTGGAAAATACGATCTTGCTCTTGAACTATTGGACAAATTTAAATCAGAAGAATTTAGTATTTGTGACAAAGCTTGGCATTTTGAAATCCTTGGTATTTTATACCGTCAAACTGGGAAGTATAGCAAAGCTAAAAATCAACACGAAAAAGCTCTGGAACTTGGAAAGCAATTGCCAGGTCCAAATCATATTGTTGTCGCTGGGTCTTTAAACCATCTTGGTAATGTGTATAGTGATACTGGAAACTACGACAAAGCTAGAAAGTTTTATGAAACAGCTCTGGAAATTGAAAAACAATCGTTAGGTCCAAGTCATGTTGATATCGCTGGGCTTTTAAACAATCTTGGTAATCTGTATAAAGATACTAGAAACTACGACAAAGCTATGGAGCTTCACGAAAAAGCTTTGGAAATTCAAAAACAATCGTTAGGTCCAAATCATGTTGATGTCGCTAGGTCTTTACACGGTCTTGGTAATGTGTTCAATGAAACGGGAATCTACGACAAAGCTATAGAGCTTTATGAAAAAGCTCTGGAAATTCAAAAACAATCGTTAGGTCCTAATCATGTTCATGTCGCTAGGTCTTTAAGCAATCTTGGTAATGTGTTTAGTAAAACTGGAAATTACGACAAAACTATAGAGTTTTACAAAAAAGCTCTGGAAATTCAAAAACAATCGTTAGGTCCAAATCCTATTGATCTCACTGCGTCTTTAAACAATCTTGGTAATGTGTTTCATGAAATTGGAAACAACGACAAAGCTATAGAGTATTATGAAAAAGCTCTGGAAATTCAAAAAAAATCGTTAGGTCCAAATCATGTTAATGTCGCTACGTTTTTAAACAATCTTGGTAATGTGTTTCATGAAACTGGAAACTACGACAAAGCTATAGAGTTTCATGAAAAAGCTCTGGAAATTCAAAAACAATCGTTAGGTCCAAATCATGTTGATGTCGCTACGTCTTTAAAGAATCTTGGTAATGTGTTTTATAAAACTGGAAACTACGACAAAGCTATAGAGTTTCATGAAAAAGCTCTGGAAATTCAAAAACAATCGTTAGGTCCAAATCATGTTGCTGTTACTGCGTCTTTACACAATCTTGGTTTGGTGTTTTATGAAACTCGAAACTACGACAAATGTATAGAAATATACAAAGAAGCTCTGGAAATTCAAAAACAATCGTTAGGGCCAAATCATGTTGATGTCGCTACGTCTTTAAACAATCTTGGTGTTGTGTTTGAAATAACTGGAAATTACGACATATCTATAGAGGTTCACGAAAAAGCTCTGGAAATTCTAAAACAATCCCTAGGTCCAAATCATGTTGATGTCGCTGCGTCTTTAAACAATCTTGGTGATGTGTATAGTAATACTGGAAACTACGACAAAGCTATAGAGTTTCATGAAAAAGCTCTGGAAATTCAACAACAATCGTTAGGTCCAAATCATGTTCATGTCGCTATTTCTTTAAACAATCTGGCTAATGTGTATAGTGATACTGGAAACTACGACAAAGCTATAGAGTTTTATGAAAAAGCTCTGGAAATTGAAAAACAATCGTTGGGTCCAAATAATGTTGATGTTGCTGCGTCTTTAAACAATCTTGGTGATGTGTTTTATAAAACTGGAAACTACGACAAAGCTATAGAGTTTCATGAAAAAGCTCTGGAAATTCAAAAACAATCGTTAGGTCCAAATCATGTTGATGTCGCTACGTCTTTAAACAATCTTGGTAATGTGTTTTATAAAACTGGAAACTACGACAAAGCTATAGAGTTTCATGAAAAAGCTCTGGAAATTCAAAAACAATCGTTAGGTCCAAATCATGTTGATGTCGCTGCGTCTTTAAACAATCTTGGTTTGGTGTTTTATGAAACTCGAAACTACGACAAATGTATAGAAATATACAAAGAAGCTCTGGAAATTCAAAAACAATCGTTAGGGCCAAATCATGTTGATGTCGCTACGTCTTTAAACAATCTTGGTAGTGTGTATAATAAAACTGGAAAATTCGACAAAGCTAGAGAGTTTCATGAAAAAGCTCTGGAAATTAAAAAACAATCGTTAGGTCCAAATCATGTTGATGTCGCTACGTCTTTAAACAATCTTGGTATTGTGTATAAAGAAACTGGAAACTACAACAAAGCTATAGAATTTTATGAAAAAGCTCTGGAAATTCGAAAACAATCGTTAGGTCCAAATCATGTTGATGTCGCTACGTCTTTAAACAGTCTTGGTAATGTGTATAATGATACTGGAAACTACGACAAAGCTATAGAATTTCATGAAAAAGCTCTGGAAATGAAAAAACAATCGTTAGGTGCAAATCATGTTGATGTCGCTGTGTCTTTAAACAATCTTGGTATAGTGTTTACAAAAACTGGAAACTACGACAAAGCTAAAAATCATCATGAAAAAGCTCTGGAAATTGAAAAACAATCGTTAGGTCCAAATCATGTTTATGTCGCTATATCTTTAAACAATCTTGGTGAGGTGTTACATGAAACAGGAAACTACAACAAAGCTATAGAGCTTTATGAAAAAGCTCTGGAAATTCAAAAACAATCGTTAGGTCCAAATCATGTTGATGTCGCTACGTCATTAAACAATCTTGGTATTGTGTTTGAAAAAACTGGAAACTACGATAAAGCTATAGAGCTTCACGAAAAAGCTCTAGAAATTCAAAAACAATCGTTAGGTCCAAATCATGTTGATGTCGCTATGTCTTTAAACAGTCTTGGTAATGTGTATTATTATACTGGAAACTACGACAAAGCTATTGAGTTTTACGAAAAAGCTCTCGGAATTCGAAAGCAATCGTTAGGTCCAAACCATGTTGATGTCGCTACGTCTTTAAACAATCTTGGTACTGTGTATTCTAAAAGTGGAAACTACGACAAAGCTATAGAGCTTCACGAAAAAGCTCTAGAAATTCAAAACAATCGTTAGGTCCAAATCATGTTGATGTCGCTACGTCTTTAAACAATCTTGGTATGGTTTTAAAACTGGAAACTACGACAAAGCTATAGAGTTTTACGAAAAGCTCTGGAAATTCAAAAACAATCGTTAGGTCCAAATCATGTTGATGTCGCTATGTCTTTAAACAATCTTGGTAATGTGTATTAAAACTGGAAACTACGACAAAGCTATAGAGTTTCACGAAAAGCTCTGGAAATTCAAAAACAATCGTTAGGTCCAAATCATGTTGATGTCGCTACGTCTTTAAACAATCTTGGTAATGTGTATTAAAAACTGGAAACTACGACAAAGCTATAGAGTTTCACGAAAAGCTCTGGAAATTCAAAACAATCGTTAGGTCCAAATCATGTTGATGTCGCTACGTCTTTAAACAATCTTGGTATTGTGTTTAAAAAACTGGAAACTACGACAAAGCTATAGAGCTTCACGAAAAAGCTCTAGAAATTCAAAAACAATCGTTAGGTCCAAATCATGTTGATGTCGCTATGTCTTTAAACAGTCTTGGTAATGTGTATTCTAAAACTGGAAACTACGACAAAGCTATAGAGCTTCACGAAAAAGCTCTCGGAATTCGAAAGCAATCGTTAGGTCCAAACCATGTTGATGTCGCTACGTCTTTAAACAATCTTGGTACTGTGTATTCTAAAACTGGAAACTACGACAAAGCTATAGAGCTTCACGAAAAAGCTCTAGAAATTCAAAAACAATCGTTAGGTCCAAATCATGTTGATGTCGCTACGTCTTTAAACAATCTTGGTATGTGTTTATAAAACTGGAAACTACGACAAAGCTATAGAGTTTACGAAAAGCTCTAGAAATTGAAAACAATCGTTAGGTCCAAATCATGTTGATGTCGCTGCGTCTTTAAACAATCTTGCTAATGTGTTTAAAAAAACTGGAAACTACGACAAAGCTATAGAGCTTCACGAAAAAGCTAAAGAAATTCGAAAAAAAACGTCAGGAACTAGTCAGGTTGATGTTGCTAAGTCTTTTAAAAAATCTACGTGTAATGTATTATGAAACTCTACAGCCAGGAATCATCGTAAGTAGAACATAGAACTGCCCATGCCCTGAATTTGACATTCTTCTTTAGACTTTATTTCTAAAGAAAATTGCTTTTATGTTAAAACCAAGTAGTAATTTTATTGTATGATTTACAAACATACTAAAGTATATTGGGATGACAGAATTTTGTTAAATAAATACTATCTTGTTAGTTGTTCATATTCTTTGATACATTCAGTAATTTTTTACCCAGCTCCATAAGCCTATGACCATATTCCAGGTTCCTATAATAAGGGGTACCCCTTTCATACCATACATACCACCCCACCATGCTGCAGCCAATATTCCTGTGCTGTCACTATCTCCGCCATGAGACATAGAACAAGAGCACAAGTGAAACCAGGAATCTTTTGCCCTCATCAAAGCATCGTAAGCAATCATTGGTGCATCATGACCACTGGATCCACCCCAACCTGTATAACTGACAGATTTATAAAAAGCATCACGTTCAGGTATGTTATATGTCACTGGAAACTTTGGTTCACTGGTTCCATTTGTTAATCCCGTAGTTCAAGATATGACTCCCAACTGTTTTTAAAGTAGCCCCAAGATTTCTTGTTTTCTTCTACATCACGACCAACCTTCTCAATGTATTCCCAAACTTTGGGTAAAACACTTAAAGTCCTGCTCCCCATTTTTTGGAGCCATCTTCTGTATAGCATAGGCTGTAAATAAAGCTGCAGTAACAGCCCTAGATAACCTATAATTAAAATCATTATCTTTAAAGATTGCTAATTTTAGGTCACTTACATTATGACCCTATTTACATAATAGCAGCATTTTGATATGGATCATGGATTCAATGGCTGTAGTAGTGAAGATATAAAAGCAAAACAGCAATGGCAATTCAAACTTTTAGAAGACAGAAATTTGGAAATGTGGAAAAGCGATAAAAGGGATGGATCAAAGATATGGTCATTTAAAGTGAGCAATGTTAGAAGGATGGAGGCATTTGAGATGTGGTTCTAGAAAATGATGGATTGCATAGACTTATGCAAACCTAAAGTCAACCTTCTTTTATTTAATTTATAAATTGATATTAGATAAAAGGATATGAAACATTCATGGTAATGGCTTGTTCAAGTAAATAATCAAAGGAAGAGTTGAAGATAAAACATCTAAGAAAAGCAAAAGGATTGAAAAGCTAAATTACAATAAAGGTTTGTTAAAATGAAAAGCAATGCAGATAACAAGATAACCTAGCAAACTTTATACAAAGCAACACTTGTTGATAGACAAAACACAAGACATTAGTGACTTGATAATTGATACATGATCTGAAATCGTTGCTTTATTATGAAAGATGAATACCTGTGGGGTGATTATGAGTCATCCTTCCACTTTCAACAGCAATTTCAATTAACATTTCAATTTGATCTTCACAAGGAAACATCAAACCTATACACATGGATCTCATAGCTGCACCACATCCTCCACCTCGTTCATTAAATGGTATAATGTAACCTTTTTCCTCAAGAGGTTGTAACATGAAACATGCCTTTGTTGTGGTCTGAGCAGGAGCTCTTTCCCACATATCCTCGGCACATGTCTTCTTGTACTTTGTAGCCATAATGCTCAATAACTCTTCCGTTGTTGTCCATTCAGAAACCAACACTTCTGCTGTAGCAATGTGTAGTACAGTGTCGTCACTAACCCTCCATCCTTTAATGTCAATTTTATCAAGTCCTCCGAGTTTTCTAGTTCTTCATGAATTTGAGTACCTCTGTAACAGAATTCCCACAAACCATTCTTATAACCTAGAGCATCCCCACTCCACTGAGAACCATAACTGCTTCGTATTTCTCGGATAATTGGACCGTATTTTCAAGAGCCATTTTAATATGTTTACTTCACCGTAGTTTAATGAATTTTTTGAAACACGGGGAAAGTACTAACTTCCCTCAACTTAGTCAACTAATAAAACGTAAAATCTTTTCTTTGCTTTGTTTCAATATTGTTTCATACTATTGTTTAGATTTAGACGAGAGCGTTGGGAGACTGGGACTGTTATTTTGTAATCCTTAATCTTTACCCGATTCCATGATCTTCAATCTGATTAACATGTTGCTTCTTGCAAAGATTCTTTAAAATTTAAAGTTCCTTCCTTATATCATGGATTATCCGACACGGATTTAATCCAAACTTGACAATTTGATTGCACATATACTAAAAACAGTGTATTGGGAATCGAACCCAAAGACTAAATTTTCCGCTCTTTGAAGATACCCACAGTTGGGCTGTTTTTTCTTGGAAAGTTCAGACGATTTTGGCTATTGAACATATTTTAATATTTTATAGTTCCAAAATTTGATCTTTGTCGAAATTTTGAAGCTCAAATTTGGTAAGTTATTGCTTGATCGTAATAGACAAAAACAGGTCAAGAGCTTTGTCATTCAATTACACTTCACCATTTAAAGTTACAAACAATAAACAATTATCAGCTTTTTTATAATGCCGGTTTAGCATTAAAATGCTTAAATATCCAACTTTACGCCCCAAATACATGCAAGTTTAACTTTCACATTTACAATAAGTGTTAAGTAAATAAATATAAAAAATGATTAAACTGAAATCACCCAAACTGTTCTAAAATGCAGAATTGCTTAAACATGACGCTGTTTTTTTAACGAAAGTGAAGATGGCTGTAAATTTTAGCTGATAGACCCTAGGTTCGCTCAGCTAAGCATCCATAGCCTTCAAATTGCATTTCTTTTTGTTCCATGGTTGTATATGACAAGTAGTACAAGTTTAGTCCCACACCAAGGTCACTGTTTTTTTTTGATGACTTAACCGAAATAAAAAATCCCTAATGGAAAAACCTGAACGGTATAAACCAAAACCGAACACAACGGCACGAGAATTTGGAGAATACTGAAGAGGAAAAAACCATTAGGGATTTCAGCCGAAGTTCCGCGCCCAGGGGACCCTTAGAAACAAAATCTTTACTTACCTTTGCAACGATGCAAATACCAAAAAACCGTCAATTTCTCAAAAGACACCTTCAAGTCCAAAATCTTTCAAGTATTTTAGTTATGGATATAATTCGCCATTTTAACGTACATACAACTTACGTACAAACCGCCACATTTTAGTTTTACCGCACGTAAACCGATCAGCGAACTCGACAATTTTCTACTTTGGACGAAAAATTGTGTAATTTGGATGGGATTTCTTTTAACGTGTGTTTTTCTTATCTAATCCACATCCGAATCAGTCGCACCTAGCGCCACCTTAGCAGTCCCTATTTTGCACCGTTTCATTCAGTGCTTTGCGCGCCGGTGCCACTAACGCTTAAAGTTGGAGCAAGCGCTTGCTGCATGACATGGATTAGATAAATGTACTTCAAAATATTTTAAGCAGACAGACGAAATTTAATATTTTTTGAAACAATTTAGAACACTTGAAGAAGCACACGTTAAGTTTGGTTACCGAGGGACCGTGGATGGTTTAACCAAACAACCGGCAGCGCTTGATTTAAGTTATGTTTTAGTTTGACAATTATCACATAGATGACTACATAGCAACGCGAATGGTGAACATGGAAACCATCGTGTAACTATTTTGTATCATATGTGACAACGTCTGCGGTTTGTCTTCATGGTAACCATCAAAGAAAACAAACAATGTGCTTTTATTAAAACTATGTTTCGTGTTAGTTTGGTTAATATGAAGCCATTCCGCATACTTAGACCTGGTGTACTAAACATTTTTTATGCCTGTTTTTGCTGTGGCTTGCCGCATCGAAATTCCCAGGAATGAAGTTTTCTTAATAAGAAAACAACATATCCATTTTTACATTTACAGTAATTGCCACGCCGCTCCTAAACTGTAAATGTCTTGACAAACTGAAGACTATTTGAGTTTCAATTTGTCGATTTGAAAATGACTGACAAGATTAAAGTTTCCTTCGAAAGATTTTGAAAAATTTAGTCATTTCTCTTGATAGTGGAGTTCATCCTTTAAATTTATAAAGGTTCTAACCCCATACTCATTATCTAAGCGTAGCAACTACTCGCTGCAACTACAGCGCATGCCTAAGCTATCTAAACTTCCTACCTGCGCATGGCACCGGAATTCCGCCCTGAAAAGGAATGCCCCTTGAAGGAGGTAACCCATCATGCCCTTAACTTAACTTAACCTAGTGCATGTTGCACCTACGGGCGACCTCCAACCGGGGTGGGTTGAACTACTCATGCATTATAGGGGATCCATGCAGGAGTGCCTTAATAGTCAATGTAGAAAGCCGTTCATGAAATTGGCCAACTACAACGACTGCATGCTCTTACCGTACTTGGAGAGAGATATTTTTCTTTCCACCATAACCACGACAATCCCTTGGTCTTCGATAGGCCTTGCACGCTTGATCCAATCTTCAAAGGTCTTCTTACAGATGCTATTTGCATCCTCTACGCTAAGGTACCATTTGTACCCACTAACTTCAAGTTGAAGTTGCCTTCCTTGGGCCATACTTCACTTGCATTTCCGAGTCTAACCTATGGTCCTGCCTATCCTTCTGCGAAGCAACAACCGCTGCGATCATGCGTAGCTCCTTAATGCAGTATATTCACACAGAGGTTTTTCGAAGGTAAATTATATGGAACAACACAATTGTTGCATGCAAGTCACAGACTTAGAATAGTTGATACAAATTCACCCTTACTAAGACACAATTTTTGAAAAAAATTAAAGCAGTACCGATAAACACTATTGGATTATTTTAACCAAAAGAGCACTTTTATTACCTCTTAATTAAGACTATTTTTGAAAATGCAGATGTAAATTTCTTTAAATATATTTATTTGCATTCCTGCATTAAAAAAATAGCCTTAAAGTGGAATATACTGAACACCAGGATTTGTTGTGGCTATTGCCCGAATTATATTAGAGATTTGACCTGTTAACAGGCCTAGCTAAATAAAAGGTTAATTATTATTACATTTACGGTTTTCGACGAATCCTTGGAAGTTCGACGACAGACTACGATGAATGACAAATCTCATGCCAATTGTGAAGATGAAACGATCGGATGTTGAGCATAGACAGCCACAAAAAATCCCAAAATAATTTTTTGAAAAATTCAGAACGTTAATGGTGAAACCATCGTATCCAATTTTCAGGCTACCTGACAAACATCACCGCTTTTATGTCGACGACGGCAAGCACAGAAACAAGATTGGCCATTTCTTGCAACTGTGCATGTCGTCTACGGCATTAAATCGGAAATATCGACAGCCAGTCGGAAAATTAGGATTTTTAGGTTTTTCATTTTCGTGTTAAAGAAATTCCATGTTTTTATTACAAAAATTTTCAATTAAATAATGTTGAGATTTGGGCATTTGATAGCGGCGTGGTTTTATCCATCATTGCGATTGATTGACCAGTCGTGATGTTAGCAGGAAAACTCCCAGGAAAATGTTTTAGAAAAGTTCATAAGATTCACTTTTGCATGGGGAAACAGGCGTTAGGCTGATGGATGCTTTGCTCCAGAAAAGTGGTTAGCGTTTGCATTCTTTGTAGAGAAAGTCTTTAGGGCATTATAAGTCCCGTTTATTTCAATTTCATCAAAGTATATTGTTCATTCTTGATCATTATTCAGAAGAGTTCATTAAAGTATAGTGTTCATCTTGATCATTCTTCAGAGGACTCGTTAAATTATGCTGTTCATTCTTGATCATTGTTCAGAGGATTTCATCAAAGTAAACTGCTCATTCTCAATCACCATTCAGAGGTCTTCATTAAAGTAAATTGTTCATTCTTGAGCATTATTCAGAGGACTTCATTAAAGTATGCGGTTCATTCTTGATCATTGTTCAGAGGATTTCCTTAAAGTACGTATATTGTCCATTCTTGATCAGAAGGTCTCTACATAGGATAATTGAAGTCAATGTCAGTTCACACTATTCTACTTCCATAATGAAAAACATTGATAACATACTTACAATGAACATTTTATTCACTAGTAATGTAATTCAAGGGAAGAAGAATTTCAACCAAATTACAGAATTGTATTTTGTTCTTATGTTTAGATGAGCGTCGAGGAACTGGTTGACAATAGCCACAATTCTCTTCAACCGCTGTGAACAATAACCACTTTCTTTAGTTGTGGAGTCTACGATCATGGTGAATACACCAATATTTGTTCGTTGTTTCTCAATCTCATTTGATGACTAATTGTCGTTTAAGAGAAGAATGTCCATGTCTAAAATCAAGCATAGAGGAAACAAAAGTTACTAAGACGGAAACTTTATGGGAAGGCCACACTGCACTTTGCATTAATGAATATCATAGGTAGTGTCCCAATTTAATGTTTACTCAATGCAAAAGAACTTAAAACAAGACATTTACCTGAACATATTTTCAAAGCACTCCAAGAGATATTTCACCGTGGAATAATTTCGTTTTCGGCTAACTATTCTTTGTGCAACTACAGACTTTCACGTTCAAATGGCACGTTCTTAGTCATAGATTATGGCCCAAGTTTCACGAAGTTGTTGTATTCTGATTGGTCAGTAACTAGGTGTGTTGTAAACGTGTTGTCTTCTGATTGGTCATTTACCAGGTGTGTCGTCAATTGTACATTGTCAAATTTAGAATTTGCATGATCATCTTTTAGAAGTAATTAATCCCCATAGAGCGGTAAATGCAATTTAATACAATATAAATAAAAACGTATACTTCAGCTACAGCAAATAGCAAATCCCAAACATTTAAGTCTCCTTGGGGAACAACTATAGCTGAATCATGCAAATTCTAAAGGTCCATTGATGTCAAAAATGATTTATTAAACCCTCTAGATGGTTAATTTCATCTAATTTTCTTATTGTATTTATTACCATTAACATTTGATCTCTTTTAGGGGCTGTTTACATGATCTCGGGTAGCCGGGATTCAGCCAAGCGTTAAATGATTTTGGCAAATGGAAAAGATTTAATACTTATCGTCAGATGAATGTTCTTCAGCACTTTAACAATATTCTGATTTAATAACTACAAACATAACATTAGAAATCGAACAACAAATTTGGCCTAATTTGAGAATTACAACAGGCATTACTTGCGGCGCTTAACAAACAGTTGTAATTTTTACGCTTGAAGTTTCGACTCTTCTCAATGCATCGAAATGATTTTACGCCTCACTGAATCCCGGTTAGCCGGGATCATGTAAACAGCCCCTTAATTAGCATTCTACAGGGTGTATATAAAAACAACGTTTGGCAATTAAACTACTGTAAAATTTCGAAACCCAATCACTGTGCTAACCTCACTAATGCAATACATTTTCAATGGAGGAAAACCGTTTGTGCTTGCATCAACGTAGCTAACAATGTTCCATGCACCTGTGGGCTTGGCATAGTGACAGACATTGAAATTATACAAAGGTCTTCAATGGTAAATGAAGGCTGACCAGCTAGTTTTGCACACATCAAAGGAATGAACCGGATAAAAAATATTATTACAATGTATTTTTTTTATTTTATTATTCAGATATCAGCCGGCATTATATGATATCCCTTTTAAGGAATTTTCAATCTCCATGCGACAATAAATTTTCATGGCAACTGTTGTTCTGAATCTTTCCACATTCACTTTTTTTGTGTGATAAAAATGAAAAAATTTAAGCACCTTCAGGCGTTCGATTTTCAGGCTGACTGCCAAAATTATTTACTAGGTCCCAGTCTTCGGCAGCCTAGGCATGCCTAAATCATTCCACATCCATGCCACCAATTATAAAAGGAGATAATACTCGAAAGTAATAATATAAGTCTCTTTTTAACCCAGAAGATTAATAGATTTTAAATGGAAAAAAATATTTTCCATGTTTGATCTTTTAAATTCATTGTTTTGAGTATCAATGTAGTCTTTTCGCAAAGTAACAAAATTACACATCATACAATAATAGTTTCCCTGTAAAATAGGTCAAGTTTTCCTTTTGGTGGCTTAAATGCCAAGATTTTATTTTATTTTGATTATTGATACCTTACATTATACATACAAAGTACTTACCTATCCCAGTCTGACTTGTACAGTGCTATAGGTCCATACTCATCGTGCTTCCTACGCCTATTGGGATGGTTCACAGTATAACAACAGTCAAGACGAATCAAGAGTGCATTAAATGTGGTTGTTTCCCTGAATACAATGCTAAAAAACAACACATACCAAACATTAAATGAAAGATATTAAAGTGTTTTATCATTACATTACATTCTCTGTCAGTGTTTAACTATATTTTAGTTAAAGTAACGACAGTGTTTGTTCTGTTTATTATTCTTATTATTCATGATAACATACAAATGACCAATACCAAACAAAATCAACCTTGTTCTATCTAATTTTTATTCAACTGTTAATAATCTGGGTTTTGACACTGGTCAAAAACTCTTTAAACTTTATGTGAACTAATGACTGTTATTGTTCTACCTTTCTTCACTTAAAAAATAAACCATGTTTACTGTGTTTGCAAACGAAGGAGACCTTTTGAAGAACTTGCACCTGGTCGACATTCGGCCTCAATTTTGAACTGATCTGTTCCAAAGTTCTCGTAAAAGGTTTCCATAAGCCTGTGCAGATACAGTAAGTCAGTAAACACTCTTTAATTCTTCAATATGATATATGTGGCAGCATGCATAGTAGGTGAGCATTTCTACTTGCTAAGCATTCCATAAGCTACAATCAAAATTATAACTTTGGTACTTTAATTTTTAATTCATTATTATTTTACCTAACGTTCGTTTAATATAACTAATCTCACCTTACGTATATGATCAACAATAATGACAGGCATGGACAAGTGTAAATCACACACAAATACAATATCATTTGGATTTGTCACCACAGTCATAGCATACTGTAAACGAATTGATTTATGAAATTTAGACTTCATGTGGAGCAATACATATCGGCGTATTCGACTCTTTTCCTAAGCATGTTTGATATCGATATCTTTAGTGTGAAAATGGATAATGATGACATTTAGGAATTCATCTTTGGTTTCTTGATATATCTCTTCAAGATTATTAATAAAATGTTGCACCCATTGTCCCTGCCTACCGCCAACTGTCAACACAATATTTACAGTAGCATTTATGTTCCATTTATAGCCCACTGGTGAACAAATGCCACTTGTCTAAATTTTTGTCTACTTGTCTACTTTCTTGTCTACATTTTTGTGTCTAACATAGTAAAGCATCACTAAGTAAACAAATTAACTAGAAAACGAAGGATCTATTTGAAAAATTACAAGCAAATATATGTTATTATTATTTAGAGCAGTTTAATGTATGTTTTTTTGAGGTCAACATGTTCACTAAAAAATACTATAAAATGACATTTATAAAACAAATTTCGTGAAAAAAATAAATATTATTATTATTACTATGTAGAAATTGATATTTATATTATTATTACAGAATGCATCGAGTCTCACAGTCTCAATCAAAGACATCACGCAAAAGATTCTTTAAGATTTGGGCTTCTTTAACTATCTATCCTTTATTCACTCCTCCGTCCTTAATTAATCAACGTTATTGTTACGGCAAAACAACAGCAACACCACCTTTTCTGGCATCATATTTTGTGAATAGGTATCCCGATTTAGTTCTATAAATTCCTTGAACGACAGAGAATCATCGTGATCCTTTCATTTTGTGTCCCAGATCCTTCAAGCCAATGAAAACAGACTCTGGAATATTGTCATGAATATAATTTTTCTCATTTTAAACTGTATTAGGAAACAGTTAATGATACAAGCGACCTGTTTCGATGGACTCCTCAAAACTCAAACCAAACCAAAGCTTATTTAACAAAACCTAAAAAAGTATCGTTTCCATGAACTTTCGAATGATTTGATTCACAAATAACAAACTCAGAAATGACAAATGTAATAATATCCATAGTGATATGTACTGCTTATCGCTTGTAAAATGAACTATTACTGTCAAAGGGAGTTGAGTGGGATGGGGTGCTCTGGAGGTAGAAATATCGTGTATTTGTAATAATGGATACTTTTTCATATTGCTCGACCAAAGAGTTTCCAGTTACAGCGGGCTAACCACGTGACACGTTCAGTGAAAGATAAAAAAAAGAGCACAAGATACAAACATTTAAAACAGAATCATCGTTACTTACTATAGCCACACCAGTTATTATTCTCAATCCACCAGAACCACCAAGAACCATTTTCACGTCACCTTTTGAATCAACAACTATAGTTGGACAAGCTGTTGATACAGAGCGTTTCCCAGGCTGAATGAACTTGGCTTTCGACGCTTTTGGTTGATAAATTTTTGATGTGTTTGGTAACGAAAATGAACTCATGTGATTGTTGTAGACTATCCCTGTTGTATAGGATCGAATCTTTGCACCAAAACTGAATAAAAAAAAGTAATTGCTTGTGGTTATAAATAGCACAATGAAAATGAGCGAGGTTGCAAAGCAAACTGCTAGATGCATGCAGGGTTTTGAGGTAGTTGTGTTTCCATTGGAAAATTTTTGAATGCTCCAGTGTAGTGTTAACTGTGTAAAATACTAGCATGATCCTTAAGCTCAAACAATAAATACAGTTGTGTAAAAGAGTGGTAATTGACCCTCGATCACCGTAGCCAATACAATGAGATAAAGTTGTAGCTTTCAAATTGAACTATAAAAATGCTTACAAATAACCAACTGTGCTAGTGACAGACACAGCATCTCCAGTTGACAAAATTACTGATACATGTGTAGTCCCAGAGTCTTTTCTGGTGGAGTAAAAGCTTTCATAGTAAAAACTATCATGTGTTTCATTGTTCCATATATTTTTACGCAAATCTTCAGCATATGTTGTATTTATTTGAACATCCTCTGACTGCAAAATAAAAATCACCAATTTAAGAAAGTAATATTATTATAATGAAACATAATCCGAATGAAAAGTTCTTGTTTAATTCAATATTTGAGAAAAGAAACTTAAGACAAGAAAAACAAGACAATTTTTTATTTTAACAGTAATTTTTCGAATTTATTAAGAATTCACCATCAGAGTCTACATAGAATTGACTTGTTTTTCCTTACATATTGAGTTAAACATGAACTTTTTATTCGGAGTATGTTTCATATTATACTAAGAAAGTAAACATGTTTATATTTTATATGATATAAGGAATTTTTACTTTATCGACTGTTACTTTCATGATTTCTGGGGTTTATAAAATTTTTTTTTTCTCTTTCGTTCGTTTATCACTACATACACAAAATAATGTATTTCTGTTGTCTTAAACGTACTTTGTCAATATTAGAATAAAATTCTGGATCACCAATGAACGGACGATAAGCATACCCAAACTTAAACGCCTCCAAAATTCGATGCCATGTTAGTGTCTGCTTGTTACCTGTTATGGAGTCGGCACCAAACTTGAAACCTAAAATAACAAAGACGTCGTCAGTGAAATGTGCATTCAGAACTAACGTATAATTGATAAACGCTCATTAAATTTACAAATATAAGTTGTTATGACACCAGTTTCAACTAATATATTTACTTTGACAATAGTCTAATGTTATTCGGTTCTATTCGTGAACAATGACAACCAAACCTTTTGAAATGTTAAGTATCATTAAGGAGCTGCTCTAATTGATAGAGATTTATCTCTCTCATAAAAATTTTCAATGTCCTTCCAGCAACTGAATATTTTCCAAATTGAAAGGTGCTGTTTATGAGATTATTTCTTGTGCACTTGAGCAGATGTGGAGGATCAAACATTAGAAATATTTTTCTCCCATTGTGCAAAAACTATGGCTTCTCGTTGGTGACATTCAATTTTTGTGACATACTGTAGAAGTTTGACCCCATATCTGATATTACCACACAAATGTTCAACCCAATCAAATCAAGCTTGCGAATGACTTCTTTGATGAAATCTTTCAAAACATCAACTGGACAAGATTCTTTAACAAGTACATACCCCAAAGGTTGCTTCCAACCTCCAGATATGCTTCGCAGCATGAATACAAGACCTGATGTTGCCCATTTGTTTGTTCGATATCCACCAAAGTCCTCTACTCCAACAATCTTATCTTCTGTGATGTTGTTGTAAAGGTGTGTTTTTAATGATATCTCATCAACAAAAAGAGTGCACAGCTTTTCCATATCATTCATGTAACACACTTTTTTTTCAACAGATTTAAGATTGCCTGAGGAATACCAGCTGCTATTGGAATTCGTGAAATTCCAAACCGTCTAATTAAAGACTTTGTTTGGCAGAATAAACAGCTTGGCGAGGAGGCTATACGCTTTGTCACTAGCATGATATAATGAAACTGCTAAGCACTTCATTTCTGGTGAGTACATTCTTCCATGTTTTTTTGTTGAATGTAACTTCAGTTGCAATACTATGAAATTAGCCAGTAGATTTGGTATTTTTTTCCATTCAGCATAAATTGACTGATTGGTTGATGTGTCCTTTTTTGCAAATTTTCTAACTTTTGTATTAAGCCTTGCAATTACTTGCTGCTTTACTTTCAGCATTCTCCTTTGATTTTTTTCTAGGTGTGTCATTTGAAAGTGAAGAAGGTGTTTCGCAGCAGAAATCTTTCATTTCTGTGTCTTTTCCATCTGTTAAAATTCAAGATATCAAATAACTAAACAAATTTAAATTGTTTGGTTGAGATCATCTTGACTGCATGTGTCATATACCTTTTTCATTATGTGAATGTGGTTCATCTTCCACCGAAACAGTTGGTACATCATGTACTACAACACTTGACACCTCTGCCTCTGTTATACGTCTTTTTGTGCCTAAATCTGAGTGTCTCTTAGTAAAAACTGCTTAATTTAATTCCATAATATAGTGAAATACCTAATTGACAATTAACTATTTCTTCCTTGTGAATTGCCCTTCGTTTCTGGCCTACAGCACGTGGTTGATTTGGAATATTAAATAATGTAAGCTTAGCCAGGACTTTTAATCGTGATTTTTCAAATATTAGAAACATACACTCTTCAAAGTGCTCTGCACACAGTTTGCAGTTATTATAGAGACAACTTACAGTTTTTTAAAATTTTATATATTAAACAATCTGGAAACTTCCGTGGTTTGCGGACGCTGAAATAGCGACAGAAAGGAAACATTTCATGACTCCGGTAACTAGCACAGTATTAGTTTTACTATTTTGTTTTTAACACGATATTTGAAGAGTGTTTCTACTACTAAGTTTTAATTTAAAGTTATTTTGGTCCAGTCTTGTTTGTTCTTCACTTTATCGCTCGCCAGACGAGGTGAAGCAGCCAATTTTTATCGAGTTTTGCATCCACCTTGTATCATGATCAAGCTAAACTCTCGTGATTTGAAGCAAGTTTACCTCCCAAAAATGGGGCAGAATATGTTCATATTTTTTAAAGATGAAGGAAAAGTTTACAACAGAGTTGTGTTGAAATTGAATGCAGTGCCATGCAAAGTTATTGAGAACTATGGTATATGCCGTATAATAAAAATAATTATTAAACTGCTTGCCTGCTCAATTAGACTGACTGTATAGTGTAGACAACTATAATGGGTTTGGAAAGTTGGATTTATGCAAACAGTTTTAAATTACTACTTAACACTTCTGTAAGTGAAGTATTTATTATCATAGTAAACAGGTTACTACTTCAAAACCAAGATAAAAGAAGTGTGTTGAACAATGTGCTAAGATTTGCTCCTACCTTGAAATTTTTGTTCAACAATAGCTTATGATTATATCATTATTATTGTCGCATCTCACCAAATCCATACTTGGTATGATTCCAGGTGATCCACAAATTCACATCTGATTCATTGGTTACAATGAAGTTGAATGTAGAGGAAGCAAAAATAGATGACAAAGAACTTCTTTGTGTCTTATGAAGAATCATTACGAATCAATGAAAAGAATTCTTGGTGGACAATGATCAAGGCATCTTAGGCCCCGTCCACACGTATCCGGATTCGTTCGTATCCGCAAATGTTTTTTTGCGGTTACGCTTATCGTCCACACGTATCCAGCGAAAAAGCCAGTGCTTTTTTTGAAGAATATTTACTTGGTGGGCAAAACAAGTAAAATGGAAAAACAAAAAAATGTGGCCTTGAGGTTTAGCAAATGCCCAAATTCTAAAGAGAAATTTTGTAAAACTTTTTTTTAACTTCAGCTTTGCTTCTGCATATCCGTAGATTTAGGAACCACAAAAAATTAACTTGTCAACTTTTGAAACTTAAATTTGCTTTTATTATTTTTATCAGAAACATTCTTTCTCTTCTCTCCAGTTTGTCTAGTCTCAATAATATGGCTTTCCATATTCACAGACATAGCCAAATTTTTCAGGACATATTCAATAAACAATCCTACACAATATTCGAAAAACCAGGATTTGCCACAAAAGCGTCGCGAAAAAATATCGTTATCAACTTATCAATAAACCGTCGGGTGAAAATGTTAAGCTAGAATTTTATTGGAGCACTACTTGAATCAGAAATGCTAAGGAATTTATCGAGAAAACTCAAAATAGTTTACTTCTGGTTGCGTTCGTGTATTTTTGTTTGTGTTGTGCTTCTGCTCAAGCATAAAATAACCTTTTATAAATTTAAGTAATGGAAGCTGTTGTTTTTATGCAGTAAACGACCGTAGCATGTTGAAATTTAGCAAACATGGAGGACGTTTCAAAACGTGAGACTCTATCGTTAGAGATAAGACTTTAAATTGGTATTGGTGAAACATAGTGTGTCTTTATCGTAGACTCGTTGTGCAACACTTTGTTACCAACCAATGCTAACTTAGGTTTACGCATTAGCAACAATAAGATGGATGTTAGTAACATTAGTAACGTCAAGTTTTAAAAAAGGAACAAATGTTTAATTTATGCACGCCGCATGATCAATTACAAACGTGAAGAACGCGACCGAATCTATTTTTTGTGAATTGTTGATTCATGCAACACAGAGCTTTCAAAACTATACTATAGATCATATGTTAGTTTAACAGTGTTAAAGTTTACTTTTATTGCATCCTTTACTGTTATATGTATAGCGTTTTTCATTATTCATAAGTATTTACAATTGCGTGCAGTTGATAATTAAAATGTATTGATAATTTACAATGGATTATTCAATAACAAAGGTCTTTTTATAATTTGAACTGACTTTTGCAATAATATACACGTATGGAATTTTTGATTAGTGACGTGAAAAAATCGATTTAAAGTCTCAAAAATTGTGTTTTAATCATTCACATTCAAATCCTATTTTAGAAAGATGATTCCTTTATTCCTGAGTTAAAACTTGTTAAACTTTATATTATTTAGCAGTAGTCCTTTGGAATTTGACTCATTTCTATGTTATTATGTACTCTGCATAAGGCTCTTACTTATGTATTTTTATTTCAATAGCAATTACTTTTAGTCAGTGATGTACACCTAGCTATTGAACTTGAATGTTCTACAGAGATGTCATTAATGTTTTATAATATTGTGGTCGCGTTGTTTATATTAAATCTCTCATCCGTTTGTTGAGTATGTGACATGTAAAGAACTAAAGCAAGCATAATTTTGTTCACACGGTCGTCTTATTTCTAAAACGAAAGTAATTTTAGAAAAATTAAGCGATATTTTAGAACTACACTAAGCATATAACAAATTAGCTAAAGCAGCATCTAGATAAAGTATGACTAAACATGCATGAGAAATCATATCTAAATTGATATACCAACTTTCTAACTATTGACAATAAGCTGCATGGTAAAGGAAAGCAAATCCTTTCAAAGGTATGGGAGAGGTGAAATAGCATACTTGTCTATGGAAAAAATGGGAATCTGTGAAAATTTATGTAGGGGGGATAGCATGTCCAATCATGCATCACCTCCATTTTTTGCCGACGCCACTTTTGACTAATCGCTGTGTGTCTAACAAAATGTTGTTAATTGTATTAAGCAAACCATTCATTTTAAAAGTAAGGACATTTGTAATATAAGCAAATGTTGAACACAGGAAGAATGTGTTTACACAGAAAAGAACGCAACCGAATCTATGTTTGGGAAATGTTGATTCATACAACACAGTGAGCTTTTAGAATTATATTTTTAATCATGTTAAACAGTTTTAAGGTTTACTTTCATTGCAACCTTTACTGTTGTATCCACAGTTTCTTTATTGATCATAAGTAATTATAATTGCGTGCAATTGATGTTTGCCACGTATTCGTAAATTACAATGGTTTATTTAATAACAAAGGTTTTTTATAATAAGAACTGACTATTGCAATAATATAAATGTATGGAATTTTTCATTAATGAAGGAAAAAGCATTGGCATTCAAATCTTGTCTTAGATAGATGATTCTCTATTCCTTAGTTAAAACTTGTGATACTTTATAAGATTTAGCAGTAGTCCTTTGGAATTTGACTAATCTCAATGTTATTATGTACTCTGCATGAGGTTCTTATTTATGTATTTTTATTTCTATAAAAATTGTTTTTAGTCAGTGATGTATACTTAGTTATATAACTAGAATGTTCTACATAGGCGTCATTAATGTTTTATAATACTGTTTGTTGAAAGAGATCCTGACTCACTCTTCATCTTCGTTCACTATTTAAATGTGTTTATGTAACAAAACTTACATGGATAAAAGATTGATGTTACAATAAGGTATGAATTATGATCACTATTT